GAATCCATTTCTTTCTCAGTAATTGTTACTATGTCACTAAATGTAATGGCCGTGGTCTATGGTAATCGAGGCTGCCACACTTCTTTTAAATCTTTTTTTCTCCCAGAGCAATCTAAATCTGGCAGACATAATATAAAATTTAATGTAAATGGAGGTCACAGCTTATATTCATCTTGTGTTGTTGTTGTCTGTAAACCTATCCTATTGATGGTCTGGACAATTTAAATCTGATTTAGTTAATCCAGAAAAGAGACATGTCTTCCAGATTATATAGTGTTCTCAACTCCCTGCTGTCTATTTTTCTTCCTTCCCCCGCCCTCCCCCCCAAGTCACTTTGTTGTTAAGTGCTGTCAAGTTGGTTCACTTTAGAATTTAGCAATTCCGGATCCCTTTAGACATACTATTTCTTTGCCTCCTGCCACTCCACCAGAGAAATGTGTCTTCCCTTTGGGGAAGCTTTTTTTTTTTTTTTTTTTTTTTTTGTCTTATTGCAAATCACTATGACAGAAATAGAGACATGCTCAGTCGTTCCTTTCTAATGGCTATCTCCTAGGAATGAGCTCCCGTAGTCCAACATCCACCCATCATTTCAATACAGGGGTTAGGTGAGTACTTGATAAGCAATTGAGCCACTTGTCTAATTAGGGCACAGATATGTTCAGTTTAGAAAGAGACATCCTGAACAAGAAGCAGGTATTTTTTTACCTGGTCTTCATCCAAATTGAAATACTATTGAACTCTACAGACTTAAAATGACTTTCTTTTGTTCCTCTTCTACTCCATGTCTCTTCTATTTCTCTTTCTACATTCAAATATATAAAAACAACCTTAGTTCATGCCATTCTAATGAACTTGCCCAAGTGACCATCTCCTAAGTGGTGAACAAGCGAACACAGACTTTGAATCTGGCTATGTCTAGCATGAAATGCCATTATTTCTTCTAATGCTCCAGCTGCTCCAGTTTCTCCTGACCCTTCAGTTCCAGTTGCCGTTGTCCCCTCTGGCTCTTCAGTTCCAGCTGCTGGTACTTCCTCAGGTATTGGTGCTCTGGCTCTTGCTCACCTCTCAGCCATATCGGATCTGGAGCTGTCCCTTCTTTTGATTGTCCTCCGAAATTCCCTACACAAGCGGCTTAGGCCTCCCCCTTGGGGTCTTCTCTTTGGCTTTGCGTCTCTTATGCAAATCTAATTTTGTCATCATTAGTTTTCTAACTGTTTTTTTCCTCCCCGTTTTTAATTGCATTAATCCTGAGCATTTGTGGTTAGCTTGGTAGTGTACCAACCACTGACATTTTTCTCTATGGCAGTTTTACTAATTGTTTCCATGTTTCTAATCATGTCTCTGGTTTGTTGTTAAGTGCCATCATGTCGGTTCTGACTCAGAGTGAACCTGTATATGGTCTCTGAGGAGTGGCTGGTGGGTGTGAACCTCTGACTTTATGGCTCACACTGACCTCCCAGTCCAGCGCATTATCCTGCAGCAGGACTACACCAGGACTCCCTGGTTATATAAACAAAGTAAAGATTATGACAAGTTTCTATGATCATAGAATAATGGCAAGAGATGGACTTTAGAGACTATTCCAACCTCCTTATTGTATATTTAGGAAGTTAAGGCCAAGAAGGATAAAATGACTTGCTTAAGCCACATACAAGGCCATTTTTCCATGAACTTTTAAAGCCCCATCATAGCTTGTTGATGGTAAAGCCAGATGTGGAACTTTGGTCTTCTGATTTTATGTTCAATGTTCTAATTGTTTTTGGCCCGTCAGGATTCGTTCAATGGATATCACTGCCAACCATTGCCATAAGCTTTCACATGAGCAATGAAGAGCTCTGATCTTTGTCAAGAAACAATAGCATCTCAGGGCCATTCAGATATGGTGCCACCTGATAGTTTGTTAAAAACCAAACAAGTGAAACAACCCCCCCCCCCCCCACCCCCGATATTCTAAAGTACATGCTTAGAAAAGAGGTCCTCATATTTATACCACTAACTTGGGATACATTTACACAGAAAAAGGCTCAGGCCCTACCTAGACCTGCAACCAGAACTCTGCAGGGTTGGATTTGGAATATTTGGCTTCAATGTTTTCCAAGTGGTACAGATACACTTTTGGGGGCTTCTATTTAAAAGGCAAATTTCTGGGCTCCATACCTAGGCTTACTATCCTAGAATTTCTGAGGATAGGGTCCAATCTTTAAGTTTCCCTGTGATTATTAGAGGAGCCTTAGGAGCTCTGGTAGTGTAGTGGTTACGAATCGGGCTGCAAACCACAAGGTCAGCAGTTCGAAACTACCAGCTGTTCCGAGGGAGAAAGATGAGGCTTTCTGCTTCCGTAAAGATTTTACAGCCTCAGAAGTCGGAACTGACTCCATGGCACATAATAACAATAACAACAACAGTGGTTTAGCACTCAGCTGCTAACTGGAAGGTCAGTGGTTTGACCACCCACCAGAAGCTCCGCTGGAGAAAAGACCTGCCAATCTACCTTCATAAAGAGCTCATACAGTCTAGAAAACCCTATGGGACAGTTCTACAGTGACCTATTGGGTCATTATGAGTCAGAATTGACTCAATGATACATAACAATGGTGTTTAAAATATGAAAAAACACTCATCTAAAAGGTTTTAGATCTTTAAATAAATAAACAGTGGCTTTCAAATGCATTTGTTCATGACCCTTGGTAAGAAAGTATATTTACACCAGCAGAAGTTTCATAAGTCAATACTTATAAAGTGCGGTGAACTCTGATATTTTCTGTTGTAATCCACCTTTTTCATTTTTTTAAAGCAGAGAACTGAAATTTACTAATTGAGTTTAAACCCACTGTAGTATGAAAACCTGAGGATTGAGATGTGCTTGTTGTTGATTCTATCACAGATATAAGACTTTCCCTCTAGTTCCTCTCCTTTTCCAGTTAACTCCTGTTAAGCCATGAACACCTGCTGGGGTTGCTTGTCTGTCAGGAAGACCCACTGTTTCACAATCAGACAATAATGCCACTGTAAAGAATGAACATCCTTGTTCCCTGAACGTGAGAGATCTTGCCAACTCCATGATGATGTTGCCAGTATCTTGTGTGATCCAAACTCAACCCTAACAAAATTAAATAATTAAAAAATAACAACAAAAAGAATTCCTTTGCTTATGGAACCAGTGGTGATCCAAGAGTAGTTCAGTTCAGGTGATGCTTGATTCTGGACTTAGTATTCCTGGTCCCTCCTCAACTCTGTATTTCCTGGGCTAGCTCTAGATGTGGCAGATTCTGCCCTCCCCTTCTGAGGGCAGCAAGTCCAAGCCTCGCGATGCCAAAATCAGCTGCCAAAAGGAATGCTTGTTGTATCCTGAGCACAAATCTCAACTGGACTGGTGTTCTCTTCTGAACTTAATCTCTGTGGCCAGGACCTCATACTGGAGATGGGCATAGGGTCAAATCTCAGGCAAAACACATGGCTGAAAATGAGGAAGGAATGCTTTTCCTAAAGCATGTTGGATAGCAAATGCAGATGTCCTTTAGAGGGCAGATGTTTTCATGTGATTCCTTCTTTTTCCTCCTGTTTCCTTGGTTGTGATAAGGCTTCCTTCCTGAAGTCTCCAATTTAAATCTCATGGAAAGTAGTTTGTCAAATCAGCACTGCCAACCTGTAAATTCCAGAAATTGATGAAAATTTACATCAGGAAGTAAGAACATTTACTACAGTTTTTAATATGAAGATAAAATAGATACATTATGGTTAAACTAGATATAACTGCTAGCATTCAAATATGGAAGGCCTCGTTTGTATAACTTGCCTATTGTTGTTAAGTGCCATCAAGTTGGTTCGGACTCATACTTACCCCTTAAGTATAGGGTTCCCAAGGAGCCACTGATGAGTTTGAACTGCCAACTCGCGGTTAGCAGTCCAGTGCTTATCCTACAGTGCCACACTAGGATCCCATCTTTTGGGGAGGTGTCTAAGCAGTCAATGTCCTAAAAATGTCAAGTGACCACGGATAGGTTAAAAGTTACACAAGTGAAATGCCAAAACTTGAATCTAAAAGTTCAAGCTATGGTCATCCTTTAGTTACCTTTCATGGCTTTATGTACTACTGTTTAATACCTTTTCTTTCTCATGGCTTCTGTCAGGAAGCGAAACAAGTGCTTCCTACTAGGGTATTCACATGTGCACGATAGTTGCTCAGCAAAGGTAATGTCCATCAGTTAACATGGAGGGCTTTTTAAAAAAATACAATTCAGTATAAAGACAGAATGGTGATTTTTAAAATAATTCTTTTTTGTTCCTTAAATAATGATTTTCACAATACAGAGTTCTAGCATACTTGATGGCTTCTAATGTAAATAATGAGATGGATTGGCACAGTGATGGCAGTGACGAGCTCAAGCCTAGCAACGATTGTGAGGTTGGCCCAGAACCGGACAGTGTTTTTTTCTGTTGTGCATAGGGTTGCTATGAATTGGTACCAACTTGATGGCACCTAACAACAACAATGTAAATAAGCATTTCATACACAAGAGATGGAAACTTACTTTTTTTCCCCTTAATGATAGGTTATTTTCATTAGTCTGTCACAAAATGCTTTCAGGTTTTCTAAGATAGACTCAATATTCACGTTGCCTTGATCCTGGACTCTGCATTCATCGCTGGCCTAGGTTTTAGATTTTTACCACACTCATGTATGCTTAGAAAATTCATATTCAAAACATTTTTGTAAAAATTGTTTTCTGTAAGAAAGTTACAAAATAGGTTCTATAAGGTATATATTGTTTTACATTGGTCTGCCCATTTTACATAAAAGTTCTAAATTTGTCCTCATAAATTTATTCTCTCCTCTAATAATATGCCCATTCATTTCTAATTTTCTAATTTCTATCTCTTGAGAGCTACAGCATTGTAGTTGCTTACAGAAACTAATCAGTCTGTCTTTGACAGTGATTTTACTAAGTTTAATTCATTGTGAAGATTTTTCATGGATATCATTATATTTTCATTTATAGTGTGGCTTGATCTAAGAACCCAGTCTACAGTTGAAAATCTTAGTAAAAGAATTCCAGGAAATAATAACTTTGTCAAGGTAAGAGAGCTCTTCAAAATATATTATAAGACTCCTTTTTAAAAAAGTTTGCAGGTTTTACTAGAAAAACTATGAAATTGGGTCTTATAACTGATTATACAATAATCTGATACAATTCGTAGACTATTTCTCCATGGACAGACAATGGAGGCCAACTTAGCTCTTTACCTTTTTATCTATCTATCTATCTCTTTTTTTTTTTTCCTTTAAAAGCTTATAAAGCTTCTATTGTGAATTGAGAGATAGTTTACATGGGATGGGAGAACATGGGTTTTGTCCTCATTGGCCTCATCCCATTGTATTTTGTTTCATTGCAGTGATTACTATCCTCTCCGTGCATCATTGTTTAACAGTATTTGCTTGTATTCCTTCTGTTTTTTAATAATCAAAAAAACAATATACATTCATTGAAACAACCAAAGGGCACATTCTGCATGCCTGCCTCCTGGCCGCCAGCACACAACATTTCTCTTTCCAGGCTGAGGCTACAGTCCTCAGCTGCTCTCTCTCTCCATGCCATCACCTCTGCCACCATCTCTGGTGGCGCTGCTTCTCTGGTTAGGGTCGCATGTTCCGCCTTTGCTCTTCTCTTCTGATATTCCTAGGGTCCTCTGTTCCTGGAATGTAAGATTAACTACTCCCCCCTTTATGTTACAAACCTTCTATCTTTAAAGTTGTGACAATTGCAATTACTCACTATTGAATCATACAAATCTTAACCTCATCTCGTTTTACCAGACCCGTCTAGACAAGATGGAAACTCTGAAACTAAACTCTCTCTTTAAAACTTGTAAACTTCGTGTGTTTTAGCCCCCACCTCCCTGTTTTCAGGTAGCCAATGTCTAAGTTGCCCATCACTATCAGCCCTATATACTAAGGGGATAGGCTTGATCTTTGATGTGAAGACTCCTTCTCTCAGAGCTGGTATTTTGAGCTAGTACGTCCATAAGTAATAGGTCAGGTTCGTCAAATTGTGACAATTTGCACTTGCTTCCTATATCAGATTTCTTTATCTTCTTCTAGTGGAGCTCTGGTCATCAAGTCATTGAAGCTAGATCAAATGGGTACTAACTATCTCGGTACGATCTGCAAGTTTGGGCGTTCTGTGCTGCTCCCCATCCTTCATATTAGCTGGACGCTTCACTCTCAGCTCTAGCCCTCCGTGGCTAGGACAATGTCCATAGGCTCAACCTTCCTATCTTTCTTGCTCTTGGTGGTTTGGAGCAAAAATACTCCAAGTTTGGCAGGTTGGTGGAACCATAATTTGTTCCAGTACTTTAGACCATACCCAAAGGGGCTTCGTATAATTCAGCTATGCTTTCCAAATCCATCCTTACTGATTTCTACTGGCCATCAAAGTTCTGGTGCTTTTGAGTTTTTTGGCACTTGGTTTCAGGGAGACAAATGGTAGAAGATGCTCTAAGCCCTTATTGAACAACTCCTCTACTTTCTTCATATGAAGATAAGTAGTAAAAATGTCCTAATTTTCTGTCATACAGTTTTATCTGTTTCCTGTTCTGTTTTCGTTGTCACCCTGCCCTGTCCTACCCTCATGATCAACCACACTCTGCTGCAAAGGTGTGTTTTTCTCTCCCATAGCATTCTAGGCCAGCTTTTAGTCTTTCCACTGAAATCAGGACAAAGTCGTATTCTGTGCTACCTCATTATTGATGTTGTGGAATCTTCTCATAGGAGATGATTCCGTTTTCATCATGGCTGAGATTTCCTTGATTTATCGCCATCAGTTATTTTTGAGCATTGATCCTTTTTTCACCCTTAGGAAATCTAGAAAGCTTGAGTTAAGATTCTTAACCTACAGTTTGTGTTAACCTATTATTAAATTTTTTGGTTTGCGTTTTTTTTAGGAACTCTATCCATATGAAATCAATAAAGGGAAATTTTTTTGCTGAATGGTAACTGAGGAGAATAAGGTTCAGAGGAGGGAGGGGAAAGGTAGTTGCAGTCTTTGCATACATGTATTTTCTTAACCACTTACGACCTTTTTCATCAGCCTTTATAAATCAGTTTGTTGTTCAATATACTAACAAAAAGAACTGGACCTGATCCATTTGCAAAGAAGATTGCTAAGCCATTTTTTTTTATTCCATGTCGCCTCCGTAACCACTGCATTTTGACAGCAGCTTCCTTACATAGATCAACTCTGCATTGCTTTCATCTTGTATTTCATCTTTGCTTCCTTCTTTAATCTCCATTTATTTGATAGTACTATATCCAAATCCTGGTGTGGCGCTGTGAGTTAATGCGTTAGACTGCAAAGCCATTTGAACTGCAAGGTCGGTGGTTCAAGCTCACCAGCCACTCCTCTGAAATGGGTCGGAACCGACTCGATGGCACTTAACAACAACAACAAATGCTATTTTTGGGGAGCACTGTAGCTCTTAGGATAAGCACTGGACTGTGAATCACAGGGTTTAGTGGTTCGAATCCACCAACTGATCCGTGGGAGAAAGATAAGGCTTTTGGTTCCCCCAAAGTTTTACAAGTCTCAGAAACCTGATACAGGGTTGCTATCAGTCAGAACTGACTCAATGG